TCCAACTAAAACCGCTGCAAGGAAAAGTACTCCATTTTGTTTATACGGTTTGATACCATGACCGCGCACGGTCGCCAAGATAAGATTTGTATGCAGAAAATGAAAGATGGCGACAAGGTCCTCTTTGTAATCAGATGATGGCGTGTACGTGTGCACGCGCTAACGCGTGACGATCTATCACGCCTACGAGTCTACGATCTCTTCGACCACACCGTCGTCTTCGGTTCGATCGATCGTACGATACATTAAGGAAGGATGCCGCTTTTGTTGTTGTCAAGTTTCGAATCACGATGTCTCTGGCAGGTTGTCGAGTACGTGCTGCTGCGTGGTCGAGCGTTTAGGCCGCGCGTAAAATTCTGCTCTTGGCGCGTTTCTTCCCATCTGGCTAAGCGAGTTTTTGCCGTGGCTTTTATTTGAACAGCCGCCGAGACTCAGGGCTATAACGCATAGTTGAAAGTTATCAAGCGAGGTTCACGCAATAGAGATATTTAATAACGCGCATGGAGCGCGCGTGAAAAGCGCGCCGCGCCTCTTTCGACCTGATTTTAAAACATACCACTGGCGCGCGCGCGCCAAAAGGAAACGCAATTCTTGCCGTAACATCGACAACGTCGTATATCTCAGGATTTCTTCGCTCTCACGATGCCATACTTACCAATCGTGAAATCGAGAATGCCTCTTGAAGCATTCTCTCCATCTCTCGATCGTCTAGAGTCTAGATCGTGCCTAGGAAAATTTATTGAATCGCAAACGCCGTGCAGTGTATCGTCTGTCGTTCTTCTATGCGTGTCCTCAGGAATATCTTCTTATTTCTAGCGTGCTAATTAGTATGGTCATTCCACTTTTTAAATCATCGCGTTCGCTTCGTTTCGCAACCGTGTCTTTATCTACCTTGACGAGACTTTGACGAGGCCTTGACGAAAGAAAAATACCCACCCCACACGTTTCGGTGTTCGGGTATTTACAGAACGAAGCGATTAAAAATGACGGCAAACTAGGGGAATAACACGGACGCGTCGATTGAAATTGAATCCCTCTGCCTCGTAGCTGTGCGACGAGGAAGAAGAAGAGTCCATCAGTTGGCTTTTCGATGGGAAATCGATCGCCGTGCCTAGGACGCAGGGCAAAAAGGGTTGGTACGGCGTTGGTATTGTGACCTTGAACAGGATATTCGAAGCAGGACGCCTGCGCAACCGGATTCGATCATCTCCCACGTCCGGGGATCTTTGTATCGCGTCATCTCTCTCTCTCTCTCTCTCTCTCTCTCTCTCTCTCTGTGTCTCCCCTTTTACCTTGGAAAGTCGCTTTTCACTTTCACGTCCCTTTCTTCCCTTTCAAGTACACGCGCGGCCCTTTCACGTGATTCGAGTAGCGGGAGGCCCTTGGTGCGCGCGAGAGCACGTGCGTACGCACTTGAGCGTATCGCATGCAGCACTTTCACGATAAGTGCGAGAGTAAAGGCTGATCGTAAAGAATGAAATCTGATTCTGACCCCGTCAGCATTGACATTTACGACACGGGAAAAAGGGGGACGGGATTTTCGATTCATTCTCTTTCTCCCCGATACTCTCGCGGATAAAGGGAAGAGATGGTTTAAGGCCACGTTTCTCTGTCTTTGCCTCTTTGCACGAAACGATTTTCGCCTATTGAATTTCCGAGCACCCCGTTTCGTTTTATTAAACGATTTATCTTTACGCGTTTGAATCGATGAACATTTTTTCTTATTCGTCAAATGCAGTGGATCTACGTTGGACGCGAACGATTGCCGGGCGTCGAACGTTTTTCAGACAAGAAACGATATCTGTCTGGCTCGATTCAGTCACGAATAATATAGACGCAAACAGCGTCTGCTTTCTTCTTCTTTTACAAAGAGTGGTGACTTTTATATCAGCAATTTTACCGAAATTCTTCCGTCGCGCGCGTTAGAAACTACAGATGTGCGCTCATTCAGTGGACTTTGTCGTAGCTGGTCCCAGATAAGTATAAACTCGTGTCAATAGATCGATTGCAGTTCTATGATAATTTTTTCATCAATTCGGAACGTATCTTGCGCGTCGAGTCGATGAATCGGGAATTTATCGATGATTACGTTGCACAACAGAGAGAAAGAACAGAGAAAGAACGAACGAAGATTATAGGTAACTCTTGCGAACAATCGCGGTTTGGTTTGATGAAAGCCGTCAACCTCTGCCACTGATCGAGCGACGGTAGAATTTTGATAATGGTGCGTCGACCCGCCTTCTTTTTTCTTCGATTACTAGAAGAACCGTACGTGTACGCGTTAGCTTCGACCGAATGTAATCCGGTACAAAAATTATATCTGAACGGTTCTGAAGAAAGGCCTGTCTCTACTGGCCTTTATTTCGACGTGAAATAAGACGAGCCTGTGAGCGTGAAAAGCGTGTAAGCCGAGCGAGAAATGGTGGTGGAATTTCCACGAAGCGGGGCTTCGATCGCTCGGCAAGCCCGGGTCCGATAGTCGCTATGTACGTCGGTGGCTCGCATAAAGACCACGGAGAGAGCCGAAACGAGACGGAGAGTACCGAAGTGCAACGCCGTCGGTCGAGCACGAGCAACCCTCAGGCAGGCTGCAACTGCTATGGCTATTGACCGAACTTGGCGGACCGGCCGGTCAGCTGTGCGCCGAGCCGCAAGAGATATTCTCTGTGCTGAAAAATTGTCATAGATGTATGACTCGCGGCCGGTGACAACAGCAAAAGGACCCGTTGAGAGTCGAAGAAAGGAGTTCAGTGTGTGGAAACGTTGAATGTTTCGGCGAACGATCGGCGAAGGTGTCGAAAGGCAGAGGAGGAATATCGGACCAGCTAAAGACAGAGAGTCTCAGCCAAATATTACAGTACGTGAATCGCTACTGGACGGAAGACATTCGTGTTGTGTACTTCGAGACGCCAAGCGATAATCTCTCGCGACTAACAAGCCAAAGCTTGGAAGCGTTTTCTCTCGTATAATAATTCCTGTGAATAATTAAATAAATACGGCGTAGATGAAGAGCGGATGAAAAGAGCAGCAAATGTAGAAGAAAAGAAGAGATACATTGTAGTTGATACGTAGACCGGCTGCGTACGGCTAATAGACGAGTGAAGGAGAGAACGTGGAAGAGGGGCACAGGGAACATGAAACGTGTGAGAAAGAGAAACAATAGTAACAGGGGTGGAAAAAAGGAGAGAGTATAACGAAAAGAGTGAAGGAACGAAGTTCTGCAAAGAGAGAGAGAGAGAGAGAGAGAGAGAAAGGGAGGGGGAGAAAGAGAAAATATATTGGAAAAGAAAGAGATGGGTATATAGATAGGTATGGTGCACATACGTGCAGAAAGTGACGTATGTGTCGTCGTGGTCGTATGTGCAGGTGTGCGCGTGGTGCAGGCTGCCGGTGCAAAAAGTGCAGTGTTCAGTGGACTTTTCCATCTCGTGCGTGCGCTGTTTCTGCGAATAGGCACGTATATGCCGGTGTGAAAACGAGTAAGATAGTAAGAGAATTCGATACTACATAATTCTTCTACGCTGGGAGTTCGATTAACGAAAAAAAAAAAAAAAGTCTTATTCTAAGCGTTACTCAGCGGAGCCGTGTCGAAATTCGGACGTGTCATTTTGGAGGAATTGGAAAATTCTTCTGTTGATATTGATTTGAAAAAAAAAAAAAAAAAAACCCCCATTCGGAGTCGTTCGTCTTGATAGAGCGGGTCTGCCAAGGAGAAAAAAAAAATATATACATCTAGCGAGAAAAGAAACGAGGTAATAAGATCGTCCGACGAACTGCTTTACCGACAGTTTCGTTGACTCGCTGTTGGTAAGGTGGCTCCACAGTGATCTATCGACGAGGAAGAACGCGAGCCAGATCGAGGAGACGCGGCAGTCGCGAATTATTAGTACTCGCGATAAGAGCCAGAGCGGATGTGTTCTAGTTTGTGATCAATGATCTTTGCGCGGATCGTTTGAATCGACATCGACAAGGTGGAAAATACGGAAACGGTATCAATCGATAGTGAGAAATAAGAGAGAGAGAGAGAAAGAGATGTCAACTCGCGCAACGTTATACGTGATTTGGTGAACTCGTGAGATTAGACGGACACGTTTCAACCACAAATGATCGTTTTTCTATTCGTCGGTCGCTGCAACATGGTAATAATTATTTCATAACTGACTGTATTAGTCTAATTCTATTCAATTAACGAAAGTCACTCGGAATCGCTCTCTCGAATAACCCACGAGGAGATCTCTCTTCTCTCGTCTATACAAGCTTCTGGGACTACGTTGAAAATCGTTCGGTGTCGTTGCTTGACGAAACCGGTTTCGTTCGGCTCGGCGAATCTCAGCG